CCCAACCAAATCATCGGTGAACGAAACTGTGGCAGCTACAACCAGTGTACGACCAGTACGCGGTTCTTACAGCTGACAATGATGGGATGATGTGTGATGATGATGATGATGATGTGTGGCTGTGGGGTTTGGCCTGTTCTAGCAACAGAACGGAGACATCTTCGGGTCTTCGGTAAGCGCTGCCTCAGGTCCATGGCTTGTGTGAGTTGGTGTGGTAGAATACGCAACGAAGCATTTAGAAAGCGAGTTTTGGGCTATGCAACGAGGACTTTCATTGAAGAATCTGTCCAGCACCAGAAGCTGCGTTGGTCAAGCCATGTATTTCCCATGCCGAACCATCGTTTTGCGAACAGAGTGCTGTTTTTCGTGCCAAATTCAGAATGGAGTAAGCTGAGAAGTGGCCAACCCTTGAACTGTCAGAGGGGTACGAAAGAGACTACGAAACGTTTTGGGTGCGATCGGCGCTACTCGCTTTCTGAGATGGGGACATGATCTCCACTGCACCCGGTTGGAGACGCCTCAAGATATGGCTCCCAATCGATACCAATGGCGTTCTAGTTGTCAGTTTCTATCCGGATTGCCTGAATGAGTGTTTGGAGGTGTAGGCACCTCTGAATGGTTGTAGTAATCTAGCACTAAGTCCCTTCCTCATCCATCTTCATTCTTTCCTTCCCAACAAGCCTTTCTTGGTTGTACGGCAGCGAAGCATCAGTGTTGAACACAGAAAACATGCTGTCGATGATGATGATGACGACATTTTGTTAACCAACTGACCAGTTTTCCCCTTGCTATATGTAAAGCTAGGGATACACTAGGTACGTCCCACTTCATTGGAAAGCACTTAGGGCTTTGTTCGGGGGCCAGCCGTCCCTAATAACCGAACATCACATCAGTTGGATGCATGTGTCACGTGCAGGACACGGGCCAGACGTAGGCATGCCCTGATTGGTCAGAATGCCAGCCAATCCGAGTCAAGCACCTTGACTCAGACCGCCTCGTAGCACGATTACTCGTAGTACGGGGTCTCGCTGCTCTTGGTCTGGCTGCTCCCCTTTGGCCTTCCTGGCATGGTTGCACCTTGTGGAACGAAGTTCCAGCCAGTGTAGCCCGCGGGATCATTGCAGCACTGAAGCCCGCCTACCACGTCAAGGTGGCAGCTTTCGGTCAGAGCTTTAGCATCAAGACTACTGCTTCCAATGCACAGCTGCCTTCCCAATCCCCCACTTGACAGCCCACTGACAATGCTGGACTTATGCACCAATTTAACAGCTCGCGCGTGCAATGCGCAGCTACTTACCCCCTCCCCCAAATCATCGGTGAACGAAACTGTGGCAGCTACAACCAGTGTACGACCAGTACGCGGTTCCTACAGCTGACAATGATGATGATGATGATGATGATGTGTGGCTGTGGGGTTTGGCCTGTTCTAGCAACAGAACGGAGACATCTTCGGGTCTTCGGTAAGCGCTGCCTCAGGTCCATGGCTTGTGTGAGTTGGTGTGGTAGAATACGCAACGAAGCATTTAGAAAGCGAGTTTTGGGCTATGCAACGAGGACTTTCATTGAAGAATCTGTCCAGCACCAGAAGCTGCGTTGGTCAAGCCATGTATTTCCCATGCCGAACCATCGTTTTGCGAACAGAGTGCTGTTTTTCGTGCCAAATTCAGAATGGAGTAAGCTGAGAAGTGGCCAACCCTTGAACTGTCAGAGGGGTACGAAAGAGACTACGAAACGTTTTGGGTGCGATCGGCGCTACTCGCTTTCCGAGATGGGGACATGATCTCCACTGCACCCGGTTGGAGACGCCTCAAGATATGGCTCCCAATCGATACCAATGGCGTTCTAGTTGTCAGTTTCTATCCGGATTGCCTGAATGAGTGTTTGGAGGTGTAGGCACCTCTGAATGGTTGTAGTAATCTAGCACTAAGTCCATTCCCCATCCATCTTCATTCTTTCCTTCCCAACAAGCCTTTCATGGTTGTACGGCAGCGAAGCATCAGTGTTGAACACAGAAAACATGCTGTCGATGATGATGATGACGACATTTTGTTAACCAACTGACCAGTTTTCCCCTTGCTATATGTAAAGCTAGGGATACACTAGGTACGTCCCACTTCATTGGAAAGCACTTAGGGCTTTGTTCGGGGGCCAGCCGTCCCTAATAACCGAACATCACATCAGTTGGATGCATGTGTCACGTGCAGGACACGGGCCAGACGTAGGCATGCCCTGATTGGTCAGAATGCCAGCCAATCCGAGTCAAGCACCTTGACTCGACGGTTCTCGCCCCCTCACGGACATTCTGGCACGACCTTGTGGAACACTCTGTGACTACCCTATATATAAACAGTTGTACTGATTTTCCTTTGTCTCCATAAAGGGCTGTGTACAGCTACCGTGCCTTTTGCTATACCATAGTGGGCGGAGCAGGAAGCCAAGGGACCGACACAGAGTTGCACTACCGTACATCAAGACACAACAGGCTTGGAGCAGTGAACACAAGGGCATAAGCACGGTACTTACGTGCCAGTTTGGGAACGGCACATGAAATAGACGCCCAGTTGTGCAGGATAGTCGCTCGTTTGTCTTAGGGCATGGTAAGAAGTGAACACAACGGAGTGTACTCTGCAGGACTATTTCGCAGTGTTGTATCGGTAGGCAGCATTACTCCAGAGCCAGTTTGACAGTCTTCCACAATTTCCTAATGGTTCCCTCAATCCAGCCGTTGCCTTGGAGACTGTTGACTGTGCTTCAACCACCCGCTGTCTCGTGTCAACGTTGAAAAGGTGTAAATATGTTTCTCTTGCACTTTCAAGTAATCCCTCACCCTTACTCCATCCCATTATGAGTACTGCCTTTTCAGGTCGCAGCACCAAGACTGACTGATGGCAGATTAAATAATGAACCTAAGCACGTCAAAATCAATTTGAGACCCCAGCGTCCAGTCGGCTTGACTGCGTTTAATGTTCACACTCACAAGCAAGCAGAGCACCAGGTTTTCTTGCTCTTTTTGTGGATTTACTCCGCATTAATGTATTCTGTTGGCCAGAGATAATGACCCAATGCACACTTCCCGTGATGCGTGCCCACTGAAGCTGAGCACGGGCGACTGGGCGTTGTGTTGTCATAGAGCTTAAGCGTCCTTCCAAATAGAAGAAGCAAAAAATTACGGAAATCTCAGGTTTCCCCGCTTGATTCGTTCGACAGATCCTCGGGAGTTCCTTCCCAGTAAATTTTTCAAGGACTCCGATGTTCAGCAAAAAAAATACTGTTAGGTGGTTNTTTAGGTGGTTTAGCAGCGGTTCAGCTGGCCACCCGTTACTTCCAATCTGGCTTCCCGGTCTCTGAGACACGTCAACTGTGCAATTCAGGTGTGTTAGTATGTACATCCTCATTCAAGCATCACCGCGCTCATTGTCCCGAAGACACTTTGCCTGCGGTGTACTCACTCAGCGCCTTATAACCTATTTGGGCCTATCTGGCAGGACGGGCCTACCTCAAAACTGGGAAGAGTCGATAATAGTACTCACCTTCAAAAAAGGCACCCGCAGTGAGTGTAGTGACCCGTTATGACACTGGTCCCGGTGTCGTTGATTCTTCGTCGTCTAATGGCTGCATGCGGAATCTAACTCGAGCACCAAGCGGCATTCCCACCGGGTTCGGGGCTGCATCGACCGCACCTTCATACCCCATCAGGTGATAGAGTAACGCCACATGTCATCGCCGTCATCATTATCAGCTGTCAGAACCGCGTACTTGCCGTACAGTGGTTGTAGCTGCCACAGTTTTGTTCACCGATTTGGGGAGGTGGGGTACATAGTTGCGCATAGGAGGCGGGAGCCGATAAATTGGTGCGTAAATACAGCACTGTCAGCGGACTGTCAAGTAGGGGGATTTAGAAGGGGGATATGCATTGCAGGCAATAGATTGTATGCACGGGCACCATTGAGGGTGCGACTGGGCCATGTCTGAATCTTACTGTTTCTTGACTTCAAGGGTACGTGCGATTTGGTCGATCGGTCAATGCTTCTAACCGCGCTCGCTCAGCAGGGCGTTTCGCAGTTTGTGGACGTAATCCAATCCTTATATTCACATATTTCCATATTTTTGTAAGTCTATAGGAATTCTATAAAAGCTTCTTTGCGGTGATGTTCACCCTCCATTTTCGCTCAACTTCGTCATCGCTGAAACAGTGAGGCTGACACCCGGGGCTCCTCAAAAACTCCGTTGAAGGTGAGAGCCTTGTTGATCTGGTCAATGCAGACGACAGCGTCCCAATGCTTGAAGACGAAGACGAAGTGCTGTTGAACAAACTGACCACCGTCACACCACCTTTCGGTATGTGTCCTGCACCTTCAGAGTACGAAGTCATGCTTCAGAACGTGCAACCATCCCTTACGTACAACGCATCCCTTACAATTAAAGCATAAGCACTCGAGGTTGTGAAGAATTTTACTTCGGTAGTTGTATTAGCTACAGCATGGTGTCTGATGAAGTTAGTTACTTGGCCACCTCCCAACTTGCGCCACTCTGAATTGGGCACGGAAAGCAGCAGTATTCGGCAAACGATGATTTGGTATGCGCAAAATATGACCAAATCACCGCAGCTCTTGCTGCTGGGCACATTCATTTGCGGAAGTGCCTGTTGCACAACCGAACGCTCGCTTTATCATCGTTTCGCTACGGATTCGCCTATATTAGCCTGCATTTGCCTACATTGGCCATAGTTCTGAGACAGTGGTGGACGAAGACCTGAGGGTATCTCGGTTCTGCTGCCGGGATAGGCCACGTCACACAGTCAAAAAACAAGACAGTCCGTACTGTGACCTGATACACACGTCCGTTGGGATGCAGGGATATACCGCTTTGCCGCCACAGCAAGCGTGATGTGAGCCTTGGAGATTCGTACATTGATCTCTGTCACACCAAATTCAGAGCTAATACAACTCTCAAGATGCGTAAAGCTATTCACAACTTCGAGTGCTCCTCCCTGGATTGTACGTGGCATATCCAGTGATTGCTGTCTAGAAGATCGACCTTACAATTGTGTGTGCAAAGCGCAGTTACTCAGTAGTACGTATAAGTGGTGTTTTGCTGTCAATGCTGGCGGTCATGATGATAGATGCGAAGCGCATGCCAAATGACGGGATGACTGGTCAGTTCATCCGAAAAACACCCGCGCCTTCTCTTCGAAGGCATGAACCATATAACTTTCGAGATCAATAAGGTTTGTCGTCAATCGCTGCTTGAATACCATGGTTTGGAAAGCCCTCCATCGTTTGCCTTATTTTTTCGTCCATCACGAAAATAAATGGTGTAGGCACCCTTGGCCGGTACCGCGTTGTGTACGAGAGCTTTTCGTGTACTCTACAGATACACAGATTGCACGCGACAACTTATCAGTCGTCAATATAACTTTTGTTTTACACTGAAATCACTCGCCTACACGTAGATGATGGTGTCATCTCTGCACAGCTTCGATGGGTCTTTTGGTTTCCTTCTCTGCGGAAGTGTAGTCCTAAGAGGGTGTTAGATTGATCGTCCTCGTTCAAACCTGCTGCTATGGCAACATCGAATACACCTGTTTCTGCTGACAAGGGACAACAGGTCGACGGTGATAAAGCTCGCTTTCAAATTTGTATTTGAAATGGCTAGACACCCTTGGCTATTCTGGGAGAGGGACTGTTGTTGTTGTCCGTTGTGTCTGGGAGTAGACGGATCTACTGAGCTTAATAGTTGAACATTGCCACAATTCTTTATTGTGATGTGTGAATATGAGAAGGAAGCAACGACGACGGACCGCTGAGCCTCCTTGGATCTGGCTTGACCAGTCCGGAAGACATTTCATATCCGAGAGGAGCTCTTTGACGCATTCCAGTTACCTTTTTTCTCTTCCATCCTTTTACCTTTATCTCGCATTCTCCAGAATCTGATGGTTTTTATTTTCGCCGGCATTTTGATCACAAACAGTGATTTTTCGGCGTAAGCCATTGTGCTATGGGTTCGTTTTAGCTTTTGGAAAGTTACTGACTGATCGCTGAAAACACGAAATGCCACTCCAAATAATACGACAGAATTGGTAGAGATTCCCACACGTATTAAGCGTCGTAAATTTCCCCTCCAACTTTGTGGTGGTATCTGAGGGTAAGCACTCTGTAGATTTATTATAGAGGATAAGCGCTTTTGCATGTGTAATGATTGATTTTACGACTGTTATCCACTTTTCGTTTCTTGTGTTCTTCAATTTTTGCAACCGAGACGTGGTCCCCCCTTAGATAGTTACGGCGACAGTAGCCCCACAAGAATTCGCTATGCATAGGATACTTTTAAAGCATTTTTAAATGATGGAAAATGTCGGGCCAAGTACTCTCAGGGAGCCGCTTTTTAATTGGACGCCATGGTAGGCCGATGTTGGAAACGTCACGAACAAACTCTGTTACTGCCTGAAAATCGCAGTGGCATGCTAAAACCAATCCTGTGAACGATCAGTAAATGCAACGCACGTATTATCATGAGTACTGCAAATGCGCGGACGATTGCCGTCGTCGGTGACAGTACGCCAGCAGTGGATGGTGGTGACTAACTACCGTACAATCTCCTACGCGATCGAAAATGTGGGGATAGAGGTCATGGAGTTTGTTTACAAACTTCAGGGGGTAACTTCCTATCCAAGTAGGAGAACTGGTCTGCCTACTAGTCAAGGGCTCCTTAGAGGTTGAGGAAGGCCGAAATTGTAGGTTGGCGCTAAGTGTCGTGTTGTTCAATCATTTAGCATAGCATGAGAGTATGATCAGTGCATCTTCTATCATAGAGAGAGAGAGAGAGAGAGAGAGAGCAGGTTCGAATTGTGTCATTATTCCAACTTTTGTAAGGTTCGGAATTTGGTAAACAGCCGCCTTGGCAGTGGTCGTCATATCTCTTGAAGATACCGAGCCAAGGTTCGTCGGTTGGGGGAAACACAGATGAAACCCAGTGGGGAACTGGTGGGCTTTCCTATATTTGATCTATCGTTTCTAATGCATGCGTACTCCATTTATCTATTTGCTGACAATTTATCCAAAGCCAATGTGTCCTTACCTCCAAATTTTCACGTAAACAATTCCGGCTGTTGATTCCAGTACACAGTTATCCATTAGATGCCTGTTTGCGCTGCTATCTAAAGATCAGGGTCTTGTCAAAGCTGTAAGCTAGACGGATATTGAATTCGTGTCGGCCTCAATCTTGGCTGTGGTTGGTTCATACCGGAAAGAACTACTAAATTTCGGATCGGTTCCTGCTGGAGCCATACTGGGGTTTAAACTTCGTTCACTCATTGATTTTTTAACAACGCCTTCATGCTGCGTGGCTGCAAGCGATTCAGTGTTCATCGAGGTCAGCAGAGTATAGAACTATGATTCGAAGAATGGTTTCTCATATAAAGGATACTGCAAGGCCGAATTCCAAATGAAGGCACTTTCCGCTCCCCATTTGCGTGCAACCAGATTGTTTCTAGCCCCTTAACTTAATTAGATGTTTTTTAACTTAAGTTTATGGGTGATTTGGTGGGGGCAAGATTGCCCAAGTGGTTACAGCGTGAATTAACTGACCGGAAGGTCCGTGATTCGAACCCGACCTCTGCCTTTCGACTTCCCCTGTCTGCGTTCGGGTAACCTGGCAGTATCCCAGCCCTCGTGCTTCCTTTGGGTGGCATGGCAGTTAGGTATCAAAAGGTTGCTACACCTAAACAGCTGAACGGGTGATTTGGTATTCGGAACTTATTTCACTCCATGTTCCTATTAGTCTTTCTAGTTCGATTACGATTATCTGAGTAGTCCATGATCGGTTTTGTTGCCTTGGCGTGTGTCGTTTGTTTCGTGCAAACCAGCTCATGAAGCCTTATACTTTTATCCTATTATCTTAGATTTTCCTGCGTACCCAATCCGTCCCATCTAGTAGACAACTAGACCGGGCAGGATGAGCTTACTAGTCTAGTCTAGGGGTTGTCTGAATGCAATTCATCACGGGAATGCACCCCTGAGACAAACTGGGTAATAGATCTCTGGAGCCTATAAGAGATTGTCGTCTGCACTTCTTGTCAGCAGCGATAGCCTCTGGAGCGTTAGTTGGTGCATTACCTTACGAGAAAGCTTTTGTCGGACACTTATACTAAGTACCTATCATACAACTCGCCGTAGCGTTTTCTGAGCCTTTGTTAAAGATGACTCCTCCCCTCCTTTTCTTTAAGTTTTACGTGGATTCAGCTCAACGGTGTAGTGAAACCTCACCAGTACCGCCACTTATGGTGTCAGAAAGATATATCACGGGCTGTATCAGAGGATGTATGTATCAGACCACAGTGCCTGCTTTATTATCTTACGGCCATGAGGCTTGGTCACTTCGACGAACATCTTTACGTCTTCGACTACAACTGTCTCAGAACTACAGATGGAATCAGCGAATCCATAATGAAGTCATTAGGAAACTGGTTTTGGTGAAGCAGAAGGTACTTCATTTGAGGAGTGAATTCAACACTGCCGGCTAATGTGGCTTGGCCGCGTTACGCATTGCGAATTGACGCCTGCCGGGAAGAGACATTGTGTTCCTTGCTCAGTTCGGCGTAGTACAAACCTAGAGGTAGACATGATATGAAATGTACGAGAACGAAAGGTGTTACGAAGAACCGGTGCTCATCTTTCAAGAGATGACCATCCCTGTACTTGGCCAAAGACACTGAAATGTATGGTGGCTAAACGATTTTGGTGGGGTTCATGCTGTCAGCTTCTATCCAGATTGTTTGACTGGGTGCTGGAGGTGTAGATTACTTGGATGTTTATGGTAGACCAATCCTAGTCATATCTCCCCGTCCCATTTTTTCTCCAAATAAACCGACATGCTCATTCTTCTCATGTGTTGCTGCCATTGATAATGATGCTTATAGTGATTCCGGGATTAGCAGTTTAGCAGGTGATGTTACCGATTCACAATAGAAGCTGCTGCCGCAGTGATGGAAACTCATGAGAGGAATTGGAGACCAGACAGGTGTTCCGATGGTGGTCGATGTGGAAAGTAACTTCATTGTACTTAATTTCCAGAGGGTTGAATGTTTAAGAGATCCAGGCATGTGAAACTATTAGACTCAGTCACACTGCATCCATGCTTCTGTCAGTTGGGTTAGCTGTATCTCTCCGTAGTCCGACAGTCCATTCAGCGATCGAATTTATTAATTTTTTCGGTAGAATGCTCTTTTGTTTGCAGTTCACTTGTGTTGACTGACATTTTTCTTATTTTTCCAAAGCCAATGAGTTCTAGCTCGCAGAAATCTTCGAACCCTAAAGAGGAAAGTAAACCCAACTCCTCCACAGCCACATCTTTGGACCCTGTGCCTAACTGTGATACGGCCGAAACGGCTGCTTTGAATGGAGACCAGTCCAATAAACCGAGTATTCAACAAGATAGTCTGAACAAAATCATAACCAAGAAAGTCAAAATCGTTGACCCTGGCCCTGCTCATGAGGTCGAGTCAGATGATGAAGATTCCCTCTCACAGGCTGGTTCGTTGGACCGAACTGGGTCTGCGGGCATTGGCGAGGCTGCACCAATGTTGGCCAGTGGTCAGCCAACAGATTTGCAGACCATTGCTGCAGCTGCCGAGCGGAAAAAGACAAAGGAAGAAAGGAAAAAGGAAAGAGAAAAGAAGAAGGAAGAAGAAATGTTGAAAAAATATCAGGCAGAACAAGAAGCCAAACAGCGTGTCTCTGCTAAATCTAAATGTGGTCGGTGGATCAAACATAACCTTAAGGTAATATTTGGTACCTTTTTTCTCAATGAGTAGATTGGCGAAGGCGGCTACAAGTTCGTCTATCGAGGCTACGACACGGTGGAAGCTCGTAATGTGGCCTGGTGTGAATTCAAGGCAAGAAACACGAGTTAAATTTTATGCATACAATTTTTAGAGGGAGCACGTGGACACTAAAGAAAAACGCCAACAAATGTTCAAAGAGACCGAAATCATGCTAAAAATGAATCATCCTCACATTGTTCGGTGTTTCGATGTTTTCCGCGAATGGATAGATATGGAGGACCCGAACAATCAGATCGAGGAGAAGGGTGTGGTGATTATTCAGGAGTTAATGGGTGAAGGAACATTGAAAAGGTATTCCGCCTTTGTTGTTATTGACCCACCCAATTTTCGTTGGCAGTGTTATCCGGAAGAATTTTCTCGAGGGACAGTGTATTCTCAAATTCCCCCTGATCACTCGTTGGTGGCACCAGATATTGGATGCCCTTCGCTATATGCACCACAAAATACAGCCACCTATCTTACATCGAGACTTGAAGGCGGACAATTGCTTTCTGTACGGTGCGTCAGATGAAGAATACCTCAATGTCAAAGTAGGCGATTTTGGCTTGGCTACGCACGTCAATAATAGCGGGCGCAAGACAATGCTTGGTAAGTATAAAATCTGCATAAAGGCACTTTAAGTAGTAAATTAGTATTAGTATTATTAGTCCGGACAAATTCCGACGAATATGTCACTTATCCTTAACTCAACGTAAAACGTTGTTAGTATCATCTGTTCTTGTCCTGATTCTCTTCACGGTCATTCAGTTTCAGACATTTAAATTCCCAAGTGTGATTTAACACACTTGTCCACTAAATTCATGACCAAATTCGATGCGTACGCAAATTGCTGAAAACTCCATTTTGTCTGCTTGGAATTCGGAAGCCTGTCAGGGCTACTTCATCCATCCAACTGATTGTCGACCTTTAGTTCTATTGGATGAGCGCTCTATTCGGGGACCCAGTCATTGATGCTTAACGGTAGTCGATGCCACATTTTTGATCGTGATTGGTGAGTTGTGCACTGGTTGCGAACAAAACAGCATTACGTTTGAGTTAACTGGTCGACTCCGTCTGTATTTCTGTAGTAGTTGATGAGAAGGTTCTGCCTACGGAGTCGTCAGGTTCACGATTTCGTCACTGCACTTGGCTGGAGACGTTGAACTATATGGTGGCTAACCGATGCGTGAATTTTTCCGCTGCCAGTTTCTATCCCGATTGTCTGATTGAGTTTTTGATGTGTAGGCTCCTCAGATGTTTTTGTAGGATAGAACTAGGTCCTTTCGCATGCATTATTTTTCTGCTTTTCATCATAATTCTTTTTCCAAATAATTGGTATGGCTTTTCCGCAGTGCATCATCAGTGTTTTTATCTGGCTTTGCTATTAATAATAATAATAATAATAATAATAATAATAATAATGGTAATAATCGTTCAGCTGTAGCATCCTCTCGGTGCCTAGCTGCCATGCCACCCGAAGGAGGCACGAGGACTGGGATACTGTCAGGTCGCCCAAGTCTAGACAGGGGAAGTCGAGAGGCAGAGGTCGGGTTCGAACCACGGACCTTCCGGTCAGTAAATTCGCGCTCTAACCACTTGAGCCACCTCGACCCTATCATTGGCTTATACAAGTGAAACAGCCGTCCACGGCGTTGCGGAAACTGCACGCATTTTGTTGGCTTAACCTCGGCTCCGAAGAGCTGTTAGGCTGTGCTATGGTTTCTTGAGGTTATCTTGGGACATGGTGCTGTCTGATTTGACAGACAACACTTAAATTCACCGAATAAGGAAAAAAGCTGCCCCTCTATCACAGTATCTGGATTCACCCCGAAAGAGGTGTTTCTTAGAGTTTCGTGCGTATCCTCATTGCTGTTTGCTCCCATAGCTTTAGGCAAATGTGTGTAAACTATCCTGTCGATTAATCTTGTCACGGATGATATCCCACGGGACTCCCTGGTAAATTGTCAGAAAGACCAAGTTGGTTTACAAGTAGGCACTTTCAGAGCTTCAGATATGCTGACGATCTGGTTCCGTCTTTCAAAAATGATTGGACCGGTCAGTTTATCTCTGATAAGTTTGTGATATTAGTAATCGGTTATGGTCTGCGCTTTGTGGCGGAATCATTCAACGAGGTTGACAAGGGATGTGCCCGCCGGGACTCTGGATACAGCCGGACGGTATAACTTCTCCGGCAATAACACTTCGAACATTGATTTGGTAAAGAAACCACGTCCAGAACTACCGAAGTGCAAAGGACTGCATTGTGTTCAGGGACTGCTAAGGCGTTCTCTTTTGAACAACCGTGATTAGCCGTCGCGAAGAGACAGTGTAAGAAGGAAGGTTCAAGCATGGGCATGTTTCCGCTTACTCATATGTTGTTCGTGTCAGATGATCTGGCTGACGACACGTGACGGCCGATGTGGCACTACTTTCAATTACGAATTTCGTGCTTGTATTGGATGGGAGGGACGAAGTTGCTGACGTACGACCACAGTGATTCGAGCTCTTACGGAGCAGGTCACCGTACTTTTTACAGCCCGACTAAGAGGCTTCTATCTGTTGACCAACTTGTAGGTGTCTGAGTGAACCCTCCAGTATAACTCAATGAGTCATAGGAATGCTTGGACCCTCTCATCACGATAAGATGTAATCAATGGTTATGGGAGAGGGGGAATGCAGGTATGTTCGCATGGGACGTTGGAATAGTTTTTGAAAGGGGCGCGTAGTGAGTGTGGTAACCACAAGGGGATCAGCTTGACCCCGGTTGTAAGGAGACTGTTGGCGTCAATTGTGCTTCGTCGCCTTACGGTGGCTCGTGAGATACTGACCCGAGAGCAGCAAGCGGGATTCCGGCCTGGTAGGGGTTGTGTTGACCAAATCTTCACACTGCGTCAGGTGCTAGAACAGCG